TTTCATCTGGCTCAAGGTTACACCTGCAGCCAGTGTTATAGACACCTCTGTTCTAGAGCAAGGCCATGAGTCCTCCTTTTTCTGACCAGGAGCTTTTTATCAGGGTTAACTTGTCTCTCTCATCCATCCCTTGAGTGCGTGTGCTTCAACACCGAAGGCTTGGGATAGATAACAAAGTCAGTCATCAACACTATGGAGGCAGAACACCCTGTTGTAGTTAGAGTAGCAATTTCCTTGACTGTGGAGCAGGTAGTTGGACCAGGAGATCCAGCCTTTAATACTCACTGTTTCCTTCTGGGAAACCTCTGTTTGCTTTGGGTTTTTAACCTTCTGCCCAACTACACATCAGAAACATTGGGGGTGAGGGAGGGGAGAAGGAGAGAAAAACATTTGGAAATTCCATTCTAGAGGTGTTTCCAACCTGCTCCCCAACCCATCATCATAAGCTTAGGTGTCCTTCCTTTAACCATATATCACTGCAAAAAAAAAAAAAAAATGGAATAGGTCGACCATAGGGGTATTATGCAATCAGAGCACTTCCTAGGCCTAGTAGATAGGGAGCATCCTGGCCATTGGACTTTTAGTATATTCCCCTGCCACCTTGCCCCAGACATAAAAAGGATGCCCGAAGCTAGGCCATCATCCTTCCTCAGACACAACCAGATTTCATGAGAGTGAAGCAGCCTCTAGTAGAGACACTGTCAGCTCTAAGCATAGCACACTAATAATGGTTTCATTTGGCTCCAGGACTGCCCATACTTTTCCCACAGTTGCATCACAACAGTTGGTCTATTACTCTTTGGAGAGCACCTAAGTTGCTCCATCATTGCTATCTATCTTCAGTGTCCTGTTGATAAGATCTGTTAACATTCTCCAGGCCCAGTTCTGAAATATACAAAGAACAGGGCTGTTCAACCTGAGCTTCTAAGGTTTAACTCCCAAAGGAAATTAAATGAGGTGCCTAGAGCTATGACAGTCTGTCATGTTTCTTTTCTGGGAATGTCACCTTAATATGCATATCTCATGTAATTTTTTAAAAAATTTAAACCACAACTTTAAAATAATGTGTAGTTTTTGGCAAGAACCTGCAATTGTTAGCACAGTGACAACAACAATAAAAGGGGGGGGTTAGAAAGACTTAATAGGACATTTTTCCCCTTCTACCCTCATGCTCTCTTTCCCCCAGCCTTTTAACAAATCACAACCAAGATAGTCCCGAAATTGTTGGTTTCCTTCCTAAAAGCAGGGTCATAGCTTCACTCCCTGCAACCAAGTCCCCTGCATATGCATACATATGTACCAAATCTGCTTTGTACTAGTGGGTCCATATGGCAGTTTACCAGCCCAGGAGATTGCCTTCAGTATAGCTAAGGGTGACATGCAGGATGGTTGAGGAAACTGGAAATGTTTTTCTCATTTGACTTCTTACTGGTCTCCCTGACTACATGGTAGTCATATTACTCTCTTTCTCTGTCCTTAGTATTCTAATGCAGTGCTATTCCAGGAAACTCTCTGACCTAGGTCCTTCTCTTCAGTAATCATATGTGGATGAGGAGTAACCCTAGTCTGACTGAGCAGAAGTAATTACACCTAATTGGGGTTTAGGTACACTATTGCATGTGCTAGCATTTGTCTGAGAAGATAGAGCTAGAAGTGTAAAAATGTGAACATGACCTTTGTCCCACCCACTTGGTCTGGTTATATTGAGGGCTGGGGAGGAATTGTGAAGAAACTAGGAGCTTTTAACAGAAATGGTAGGCTTATAAAGCATGAAAAAGCTTTAGAGCAGCAAGAGCTCACGTGAGACTGACCAAGGGCCTTGTGTGCCTAGAAAAGGTCACTTACATGGTAGTCTTTTGGTCAAGGACCCCCACAGGCCATTAAGTAGGTTCTTTGTGAAGAGAAGTTTCAGTTTGAAACAGAAGTAGGGCCCAAGAGAAAAGGAATAATGACTGTCCAAGAAGTCTCTTTAGAGGATTGCCTTGGTTGAGTTTTTGTCATAGTCTCCCTGCTTTGTGTCAGTCTCCACAGAAGGCCAGGATTTTCCTCCAAAGTATGATGGAAATATATAGTGTCTAGAATCTTGTGCCTTCTCAGTAAGTCTCTTCTGTATTCCTCTTCATTTGGGACCCGGGTATACACCTCTTTCCTTATGAATCTCCTTCCCCCCCCCACCATCCATCCTTCCCTAATTCTCCCCTTTATGCTACAGCCTGACTTCCTCCACTATTGGACTCTCTGATAGTCTTCCTTAAGGTATAATCTGGGCATCTTAGAACCTCTTGAAAAAATCTTCCTTTTGGGTTTTCCATCCCATCCTATCTCCTGTGCTATGTTATCATAAGCATATCTTGACCCATTCATACATCCTGAAGTCAGGGATCACCTTATCATTCGAGCTTTCTCTTTTTCGCCCCTCTATTCCTTTGTTATGGAGATTCATACTTCCTATCAAGGCTCAATCAGTTCTCTTTTTTTTTTTATTTTTTTTTTTTAGGCAATTAGGGTTAAGTGACTTGCCCAGGGTCACACAGCTAGTAAGTGTCAAGTGTTTGGTCTGAGACCGTATTTGAACTCAGGTCCTCCTGATTTCAGGACCAGTGCTCTATACACTGTACCACCTAGCTGCTCCTCAATCAGTTCTCCTAACCACTAGCAAAAGGGACATGCTAGTTTCATTATCTTCCCACCTAAGACTGTGAGCCAGCCGGCTTCTGCTCTGATAAAGGACACTATTTCAGTCATCCCATTCTTGTACCTTTCACATTTTCTTCCCCTTCATCCTGAAATAATCCTTCCATATCTGTATCATAACTAAAAGTCCTTTCAGCCCCATCAAAAAGCACCCATATATCAATCTATGAAGTACCAGCAGGAACAAGCCAGAAGTATAGAACATGATTGCTACTCCTCTTCCCCCGAAGGAGCTGAATTCATATTTAGCCAAGGTAACTAACAGGACTGATTACATATGAACATACCTGTCGTGTATAATGTAAGATCATATGTGCTTCATTGCTAGATTCTGTGATATAGGTCGTAGTTAGTGTCGGAAGTAAGAGGAGAGAAATCAGTTAAGGCTGAAGTAATCAGGGGGAGGCTTTCTAGAGAAGGCATTTAAGCCAAAACTTGAAAGATATGCAAGTTTGAGGGAATAACATGAAAACAGGCATGATGATGGGAATAAGCAAGGCATGTCCAGTGTGCACTTCAGTGAGTGGTAGATGGAAGTAGACTTGATGTGGTAGAAAGTAATGAGCCATTATAGGGTTTGATGTGATGAGAGCAATACTTTATTTTTGAATAAATATTTTATTTTTCCCAATTACATGTAAAAACAATTTTTAACATTCATTTTTTAAAATTTTGAGTTCCAAATTTTCTCATTCCCTCCTTCCTCTCCCCACCTCTCTGAGATGGTAAGCAATTTGATATAGGTTATACATATGCAATCATGCAAAACATATTTCCACATTACTCATATTGTGAAGAAGACACAGACAAAAAAAACTACGAAAAAAATTTAAAAGGGAAAAACAGTATACTTCAATCTACATTCAGATTCCATCAGTTCTTTCTCTGGAGGTGGATAGCATTTTCTATCATTAGTTCTTTGGAATTGTCTTGGATCATTGTATTACTGAGAATAGCTAAGTTATTCACAGTTATTCATTGTACAGTATTGCTGTTACTGTATATAATGTTCTCCTGGTTCTGTTCACTTCATCAGTTCATGTAAGTCTTCCCAGGTTTTTCTGAAATCATCCTGCTTGTCATTTCTTATAGAACAATAGTGTTCCATTACATTCATATACCACAACTTGTTCAGCCATTCCGCAATTGATGGGCATCCCCTCAATTTCTAGTTTGTTGCCACCACAAAAGAAGCTTCAGAGCAATGCTTTAGAAAAAGTTATCTGGTAGTTATGTTTTGTAGAATGAACTAGAGAAAGACACTAGAGGAAGGGAAAGCAGCAAGGAGACTGATGCAGTCAGTAGTCCAGGAGAGAGGTAATGCAGGCCTGGACAAGGGTGGTAGCAATGGGAACAGAGATTGGGGGGGGGGGGGGGGGGGATTTATATGTACAAGGGATGTTTTAATGGGGAAAAAAAAAAACAGACAAGACCTGATGACTGATTAGATGTGATAGATGAGGGAGAAGGAGGAGTTACCAGATAACCTGGTTATTGATGGGATCTATATGACTAGTAGATGGCAGTGCCCTTGATAGAGTCAGAGAAGTCAGAAACACTTGGCATATACAGAATGCTGGGCAAGGATCCTAAAATTTAAAGCTGGAAGGAACTGTAGAAATCACCAGGCCTGGTATATGAATCATCGAACTGCAGGGTTAGAAGGTACCTGAAAAGTTATCTAACCCAGCCCATATCAAAAGCTGGGACCCCTTTTACAGGATCCCCAACAAGCTGTCATTCTGCTTGTGCTAAATTAAGCCCTCCCACGTGCCCAGAAAGCAGGACCCTGGTGCATTGGGGTTGGGGATACAAGGTAGAACTAGAGGAGGAAGGAGCTTTGTGGATCTGTTTTCACTATAACTGCATCAAACAGTGCACAAAAAAAAGAGTAAAAATCTTTTTCTTCTCCCATATTTCAAACTACTTCCCAGAACTAGCACTAGCAAATACTGGCCAGTGACTGGAAAACCAGACTTGTGTCAACTCCCAGGCCTACTAGTTTTCTCTTTCTTCCATTGCTGTTGTTCTCCTGGACAGTCTCCTTTTAGTCTCACTGCTTCTCCCCACACCTCAACCCCCCATTAGCACATTTGGAAAGATGAGGGACTCTCAAGAAAGGGGTAGGGGGGAGACAGGAGGAGCGCAGGCTGGCTTTGCAAAGGGAAAGGGGAACCAAAAGTGAGAGGCCTCGAACTGAAGAAAATGGACTCAACTCTTCTGTGGGCAAAAGAAGAGAGTCTGTTGCTACAATTAGATAAATCCCTGAGTATAAAAGCATAAAGCTCCTGTATCTCTGTTTCCAGATTCTGTTGACTGAAGAATTTGTAGAAAGAATGCTGGAAGACTTAGAAGATTTGACTTCTCCAGAGGAAGTAAGCCTATTTGTATCAGTCTCTGAAAACTTTATCCAGTCTTCAGGTGGGGTGGAGTGGGGGGTGGGGAGGAGAAGATTCTTAGTTAAATGGCTTTTTTTCTGACTTCCCCATCCCCTACTCCCACCCCTCAATCCTACTCCTCCCCCCCCACCATTCCTCCATTAGTCAGCCCCAGGCCACTGTAAGGATGCCTGCAAATTGTCTAAGTTACCAGCCCCCACTGAAAAGCCAGACCAGCCTTCATGCTGCTGCTCACTTCTTCCAGCCCCTGCTGTTAACTGGCCGATTGTGAACAGAAAGCACATGTTTGTTGCCAGATAGTATTCCATTTGGAAACACCCTGGTGGGCTGCTAGGGGACTCTTACTTTTTCTGTCAGAATGTCCACCTATTAGTTACCTTCACCATTGCCTCCCTTCCTCCATGAGTTCTCCCCACTTTTTGGGCCTCTACCAACCCTTGCCCCCAGAACCCAGGGAAGAGGCCTATGTTGAGGGCTGGGGCCTGTTCCTCTGCAACTCCACACCTATTACAACTGAAGGGCCCATAATCCTTTTCTTTTTCTCCTTCAGCTTTCTCTGTGTTCTCATTTGGAGAGACTTACCTCATCTTGGAAAGTCCCTTCCCACCCTCCCTCCCTCTAGTCTCTCCCCTCCCACTGAAAAACACCTCTGAGGGCTTTGGTTCTTGGTTTGTCTTAATGTCCAGGTTAACGTCACGTTAGAGAGCTGGAACAACATACCCTGATAATGCTGTATGTCTGTCCCCCAGCATCTAGGGAGAATAAGTCCTAACTTAGCTCTCCTCAACTGGGATCTTAGTGAAGCAAAAATCTTTCAGTTACCTTTCCTTGAGACTCAGGTCTCGGCCTGGGCTCCAGAACCAGAGTTTCCTTTCCCAGTTCTGGGGCCCAAGCATAGCCTATCAGGCACCTTTTTAATACAACATTTCTGTCTATGACTGAAAAGTTTTTGGGGTTCACCCAGGCCCTGGAGAGGTCTCGTGGCTCTCCAGTTCAAGACTTTTAATCCTTGTTTTAGGTAATTGGGAAATTGCTAAGGGTACTACTTTGCAGATAATACAGTATAATAGTGACCTGCCCCAGAAATGCACTTACTTCAAGTGAGTCTGTTCTTTCTTTTACACATACACAAGGTTATCATCCTTGGGATTTTGCGTAGGCCAGTGCTGCAGGGATCTCCATTCAAAGAGACCAAAGACAACAACTGGAAGCATTTCTGGACAGGCACTCATACACTTGTGTTCATGTACAAGCTCACTCATACAATGGCACTAGGCCAACTTCAGCTTTGAGGGTGGGTGCTGGGTGTTGGGGGAAGGAGAATGTAATGGTTTGGAGAGGAGAAAAGGGAGCCAGGGGAAGCTCAGGAAAGTAGGTCACCAAAAATAACCCTTTTCTTTTTTGCTTTCCTGACCAGTCTTCCCCTACACCCTGCCTCCTTTCTCTCACCTTCCCCTCACTACTCTCCCACATTCACCAATGACATGGGCCTCCTTAATCTAATTAAAGGGCAGGAATGAGCAAGAGACTTCACACTCATATCTTCCAACCCCAGAAATGGGCAAGCTGAACCCCTACGAGTCCTTGCCTTTTTTCTATTCCAAGCAGATTGCTTGGCTTGAAGTTCTTTTCTGATGGTAAGATACACATAGGGCCAATCTGTGATGTTATATGAAGTTTTCTGAAGAGCCCAATGTGCTCTGTTTTTGGGAAAGGAGGAAGTGACCTTCCTTTAATTTCCAAGAGATAGTTATTGGCCAAGTAACAGAAAAGATTTCAAAGTAACTTGGAAAGGTGGAAAGGCTAGAGTTGAAGCTTTTTCCTTCAGGAGCACAGATAGACTCTTGGAAACTTTAATACCCCCTCCCTGACCTTTAAGGGAAGGAAAGGCAGGACAGAGAGACCAGGCTCTTAGGAAGGAGGCCAGGGACTTTTATTTTTTGGAGACCTTTTTCAGTCATATGCAGTAAAGGATGTAGGAATCAGCTTCAGGAACCTCCTTTCTATATTTGCAAAAACCACTGTAGCTAGGAAGGCCAAGACCCTAACATCTGGATGCTCTAAGCCCCAAACTCTTAATGGGAATTTCCATGCTTTTGGCAAGAACAGGCCCAGAGAAGTGAGATATGGGTGGTAAGGAGAGGTTAGGAAACTTGCCTGCAACCATCTTTGGTTAATGATGTCAGAACACAGAAAAAAATGGTCTTGGCTTGGGAATCCTAGAATTTTGGTGTATTAGAATTTCTCCTTAGGGCTTAGGTTGGAGGCTGGGTTACCCATTGGGAAAAGCTAAAAGACACTTTAGGAGTAATCCAAACCTGCCCCCCCCTTCATTTTGCACATGAGAAAATTGAGGTTCAAAGATAGGAAGTAATTCAACCAAGATGTCTGGCAGAGCCAGGACTGATTAGAACCCAGGTCTCCCTTCAGTACTGTTTCTTTAGCACCAGGCAGAGGAAAAACCTGGGTAGAAGAATACATTCATTCCAGCTACCTACCTTTGTTCTGGCATTTGAAGTTGAAGTCATGTTCTCAGATGGTTGTTCTCTCCTCTCTTCCCATTTGTGCCCCCAGTTGGAAATGAGTCACCTGGACTGGGGTGGGGGAGGCTGTGGGTGAGGTGGGGGGAGTGAAATGAAGGCTTAGTTGGTTCTAGTTACTTCAACCCCAGAAAGTGGGGAGTAAGTTCTGCTAAGTATATATACTGTGCTTATCTGTTTCTGTTTCTCATTCACAGTTCAAACTTCCCAAGGAGTACAGCTGGCCAGAAAAAAAACTGAAAGTCTCCATTTTGCCAGACGTTGTGTTTGACAACCCACTGCACTAGCCCTGAATTCCGTCCCTTCCTTCAGATGACCATGAGAGCCCGGTCTAGCTCCCAAGTGACTCAACAGTGTAATGATTGCAGTAAAAAATGATTCCTGCAAATAAAAGGAAAAGAGAGAGACGATTACTGCACAGCCACTGCAGCCCACAATGGGGTGCATAAGCAGGGACTGGCCCCGGCTCCCCTCCACCTCACCTCTTATCTGGGGGCCAGGCCACTCCAGGCCCATTAGGAGTGAATGAGACCTTGTTCCAGCCCAGCTCAGGTCCCACCAGACCAAATGAGTGGCTAATGACTCTGTCATTCCACCTCTGGTTTGGGGATATGACTCTGGGACCCCTGACTTTGTTTTCCACAAGCTGACCTCACTCATCTATGCTTGCCCACTTCTGCAGGTCTGGGGAAGAGCCCTAGACCCACGGATTAAATGCTCTGGCTCCTCCTGACTCTGGAAACCTTTTGTTAGTCAAATTCCTCCTGGCTACAGAACAATTCCTCCGAGTATGTTTGGGGTTTTTTTTGTTTTGTTTTTTGTATTTTATTTTTTAGAAACCATATGGTATTTAATTGCTCCGCAAAGGTGTCTAGAAGCTGTCATGCATATTGGTTTTGTTTTTGTTTTAAGTGGAACTTGTTTTCAAGTTGAACTTTCTTCTCTTGGAAAAGGACTGGGGATACCTAGCTTTTCCCCTCCCACATCCCCCCACCCGGCCATGTCACTAGAAGGTGCTTAGTGTTTGCCAATGAATAGCTATGGTAGGGCCTTTTGGGCAGAAGGACTTTTCTTCACCAGCTCACAAACCATTGTGGATCCATAGAAAGGGTGTTCAGAAGCAGGAGGCATCTAGGTAGGAGTAGGGTGAAGCTATGTCTCTGGAGACCTGAGACCCCCTAACGTGATACTCAGCCCTGGCCCAACCCTTAACTAGGAAAGGCTGTGTTCTTGCCAGGTGGGTTGGGCTCCAGAAGCCTCAGGGAGCCCCTTGGCCTAAAACCGGCGCCTGTGAGGCGTGAGGACTGCGGCCAGCACTGCCCAGACTCTTGGAAACTTGGAGAAGATATCAGCCTCGCCTTCTCAGTGGGCTTCTCACTCTGACTGGGGCCAGCCTAGGAGAGGGAGAGTCTCAGCCCTTGCAGGCACCTCCCCCACCTCCAGCTAGCTCAGGGTTTGTGTGACCTTTTAGGTCCCCATTCTCTCTCCTCCCTCCTTTCTGATCTCATCTTCCCTCAGGCCCCCACAGCTCCAGGCTCTAGGAATTTCTAGTTTATTAAAAGCTAAAAAATAAACTTCCAACATCTGTCTTGTTATCATTTTGCAACAGCACATTCACCTCTTCTCCCTTCTTCCTAAATTCATTTATTTCCTTTATTTGTTCCTCTTTCTCTCATCTTTCCCCTTAGACCTCTGTCTTCTCCTGTACTTTTTTCCTTTGCACCTGTATCTCAGGCCTTTCTCTCTCTACATCTCTGACCTCTTTCTTCTACTGTATTTCTGGCTTCTTTCCCACTAACATCCTCTGCTTTATTCTGTATCTCTAGTGTTTTTCCCTTCACTTCTGTCCCTCCTTAAATCTCTGGCTTCTCCCCCCTGCATTTCTGGCCATTCTCCCACTTACATATTTTTGGCTTCTTGTATCCCTGGTCTCTATCTTCCTGCATCTCTGGTTTCAAGCCCTTTCGCCCCTGAGTGCGCCGCCCCCCCCATATCTCTAGTCCCTCCCTCCCTTTATCTCTGACTTCTCATCACTAATACTTTTTCTCCTGTCACTCAAGTACCTGACCCATCATCCTCATGTGACCTCCTTCATCTCCTGCATCAGGAGGACACATCACCACCACCTCCAAGGACACCAATCCAGTTCTGGCCTCCCAAGGCCTCCTTTTGGTTTCCTCCCACCCCAGACCTGAATGAAGTTGTTTTAGCCATGGAATTAAAGGACTATTTCTGGCACCATCCAACACACACTCCATAACATGAGAAGCATACCATAGGCCATGACATCCATCATGGCTCACAGAAAGCTGGCACAAGAGATGACAACCCCTCCAATGCCCAGTTAGGCAAAAAATTGTCCTGACCACTTCTCTAGGGAATTGAAGAGATGAAGACTGGTGCCAAAGATCAGAAGAAGATCGACATTAAACAGTCTCCAAGAACCCTCTTTCCTAATGGTCTCCAGAAAGGTTATGGTGAGTGAGACTTAATCTTGTGAACTATTAATGAACCTTAGATGTGAAGACAAACCAGTCCTATTCTGGAATACCCAAGTGTATCTTTCACTCAAGCCTAGGAATTCTTTAGCGTGAGCTTCATTCATGAAAAATATAGGTGTTGCATTTGCTGACCCCTGGTTCCCAAATACCCCAGCAAGGTTCCATCTTCATCCCATGTGCCCCTTTGCTGCCAGTTGCTGGCATCATTCACCCCAGCTAGATGATTGCCTTTTTAGTGTCTCTGATTCCAGTAGTGTTCTTTGGTCTTCTCTACTGCCACCATCTCCATCTCTTTTAAATTCTTCCACTTCTCTGCCTCATGGAAGGGAAAAAAAGATGCAGCCAGCCTGATCAGTCACTCCTCTCTAAGCCCCACCACCCCACAGTCCTCTCCACCAGCCCTTAGTTTTAATCTTAGTTTGGTGTCTAAGCCAAAGTCTCCCTTGGTACCAAAAGCACCGGGTTATTGCATGAGGAGGTTTAGGATTAATGGGTTGACTACCAGTATCAAGGACCTGGGTAGTCCTGTGTGAATGGGGAGAGCGTTATAAAGGATAGCCTAACTCGGGGAAGGTGACATGGAAGAATACATTGCCCAGAAAGCCCATTGGGCAGTCTGGAAGGCCAGTGGCCATAGACACATCTTACCCTTCCTATCCTAAGAACTGTTCTTCCTGGGCCCAGGACTTCATGTCCCTTTTCCAAAGTACTTTCCATACATGGCTGTGCATGTGCATGCTGCCTTTGTATTGTTTGTAGTCCTTCCCTTGGTGGAAGTTGGAAAGGAACAAGTTAGAGGGTCTTTATGGTTTTCCTGTGCAAGATTCTCAGAAAGAGTGAAACAGGGATCATCATTGAGCTCTTTTCTGACCCAGCTTTCCCTCAGACTTTGTAGACTCATCCTCCAGACAGAAACTCTTAGGAACTTGTATCCTGAACTGGGTATCTGCTCTTCCTTTTCCAACTTTGAACTCTCCCAGCTCCAAGGAAGGGTCCTTCCTTTTCTATAGCAGCTGATTCTTCATTGGTTCCACTCTAGGACTATTTTCTTCTCCCATCATTTCCTCATGTCTCAGATTCCATGGTAGCCCCTTTAAGGAAAAGGGGGAGCTCCCCAGTATTTACAATCTTGATGGCTCTCTGACTGGATAACAGTAAAGTCTTACAGGACACAGAGGCTTTCAAAATCTTGGGCAATGCTTGTCATTGTCACTTGTCACTTCTAGGCAATTATCCCTTAGAGGCTAAAGAATTGCTCACACCATCTCTGTGGGTCAGAGTGTAGGAATTCAGCCATGGTCATGCTCCATCTTAAGAACACTCTGGTCTTGCCTTGTCTTTTTCCAAAGGGGTGGCACAAGGGATAAGATAAGAGGAATGGGGAGAGGGCTCAGGGATCTGAAAAGGCTAGAGCACTTTTTGAAAAGAGACAGACCTAAAACTGTTTGGCCTGAATTTTGAAGTTTGGTGAAGAGCTGAACTATTGACATTCTACTGTGAGGCAGTCCCCCTTTCTCTGCTTTTTAACTAAGCTCTTTCCCTCTCTGGCTGAGAGGGCCTTGTGCCCAAAGGGAAGTGCTCAGTCCTGTCTTGGGTCAGGATACTGTAACTCAACTTCTCATTTTGTTACAAAAACCTGAAAGCTGCTTTGAGCAGAGCTTTTTTAATCTTTTGTATTAGTTTCTATTATCAGTGGTGACTTGGTTCCTGGGCACTGTGGCAGGCCAGGACTTTTGTAAGAATTTTTTCAGTGACTCACTGAAACCGTTTCCTTCCCGCCCCCTCTCCCTCAGTGTAATCTAAGTGCATTAAACATGTTTGCAGAACTACCCTTGTCCTGTGCTGCTTTCTGTCTGGGCAGGGGTGGAACAGAAGCCATGCCAGAACTAAGTTTTTTACATCCCAGGGGATTGGTAGGTGGCTCCACAGTGTCCCTGAGCTGTGGAATAATAGAGCTGAGGATGACCCTGAGAGGCAGTGGAAAGACCCCCTCAGGGCCTTGTTGAGATATGGAAAGGAGTAGGGGGAGGATTACTCAGTTGATAATTTTTCTGTCACACAAAATAATCATTTGTCCAGATCCCAACTCAGTACTCATAAATTCCTATAAGGTCATGGAGGGGAGGACTGGAGAGGAATAGGGAGCAGAACCTCTCTGCCCAAGCCCAACCCTGGAAGACAAGCCCCATCCAAAGCAGGGAATGATGAGAAAAACATGGAGGGTTAGTAGAGTGGGCCTTTTCACAGGAAGTCATATTCCCTACTCCAAGTACCTAAAGTGGGAGAGGAAGAAGACCCATGAGAAGAATGGCAGATCTGGCCTCTTAGTCTTAAGGGTAGGGATTTCCACTTGTAGAAAGGGACTCCTATGGGGAGTAGTCACCCTACAGGCTCGGCTGGGCTCCCTCCCTCCTTTGCCACCTTGGTTCTGGGCGTGTTCTTTATTGGCTACCCTAGTACCTGTCCCCACCCCTTCAAGCCAGAAGCCAGTTAGAAGAAAGGACAAGTAACTGAGGAGATTCATAAGTTTCTTTGTATCTAAGGCTGATTTTTAGTCCAAGAAACCCTGTCTTAGTGATTGTTTTGTTCTGATCTCTCCCTCCTCATTGGGGGTGGGGGGGTGGGAGTGGAGGATAGCTGAAGGAGTTTCAGCATCCCTTACCTATCCTCCTCGGAGAGGGTGATAATATGTGAACAATGGGGGCAGGGCCCCAAGGACCCAGTTGCTGGGGCACAGGTGATGATTGGGTGATTTAACTGCTTCTTCCAAAGGAATCTCCAGGTCTTTGTTTATTGTCACCCTTCAAGGATCTGACCATGTTATGGGAGGAGAGGGGAGTTGCTTCCCCAGAATCAGACCTGTACCTCCCCCTCTACCCATGACCTACTGATGAACTCCAGCAGGCAGACCAGCTCCAGGAGCTGCCGGGCAGGTCCTTGGCTGGGGCCCCTCAGCCCCTTAGGCAGCAGAAGGAAGGGAATGGGGAGGGACTAGGCCTAGGACTGAAGCTAAAGTTAATATTTCTAGTGCGTCCCAGGCCCCCAGAATCACCCCCTGAAAACCAAACCATGCCCTTCCCCAGCATCTTCTCAAGCCTCCCAACAGAGCAAGGCAGGTCAGAGGGAAGAGTGCCTGTCTCTGTGGGCGGTGTTGCCCTTCCATATCAGATTCTTGGCAAAAGTATAGGGCTGACAGTTTAGGCTAGGGTAATGGGAGGGAAGGGGGGCGGCGCGAGAGCTCTGCTCTGACTCAGAGCTAAGCTGGATTGTCTCTAGCAAGAAGCAGAGAGGAAGGACAGGTGGGTGTCTGGTCCTGAGCATAGCCCCCCCTCCCAACCTTAGTCTTGCAGGGAAAGGTACCCCAGAGTGGGAGAAAAGCTAGTCCCATCAGGTTTGGGGCCCCCACTGGCTTTGATGTCTCCTCTTGAGGATCTTGAACCTCATACATTCCTTAAGGTGCCAAGGGGGCTTAGAGTCTCCAAGAGCTGTAGGGCGGGGGAATGGGGAGAGATTTGCCAAACTGGCCTGACCAGAAGGAGAATGTGAGCGGAAAATGAGTCAGCTGGGTCCAGCTGGGACTGGGGCAGCTGCAGCAGCTGTGGCTGAGCTGGGAGAGAAACAGCCGGGTGGGCTGAAACTGAATGATTTACTACAGGGGCAAATGTCCCTGGAGAAAAAGAGGGGAAAACTCAGAAAACTACAAGGACAGGTAAAGGCAGAGCACAAGAGAGAGATGGGCCCTGGAAACTGGAAAGAAGGGGGAGGATGTCAGTCCTCCCTCTGCCCTAAGAAAAGCAAAAGAACTGCAGTCACCTTCCTGACCAAGGCCTGGGTCCCTGAGAGGTTACTAAGGAGCCACAAGGAGGTGAAAGCATCAAGGAAACCCTTCTTTTGTAGGCCACCTGAGTTCAGGTCCCTTGACTATTCAGTCATTGGTGTGAAGGTACCTGTCCCTTTAAAAGGCAAAACAGGGGTCTGCCTCGATGGAGGTGGGAACAGGGATGAGAAGAGTGTTGGGCTTAAAGTCAGGGAACCTAGGTCTGAATTCTAAACCTGGCACTTATACCTGTGTGACCTCTGGTCAGCTTTTTGTCTCCTCTATAAATTTAATTGAACTAGATGACCTCCAAGCTCCACCTCAACCTATAACACTATATTTTAATAATAGGTATCAGTATGTAATTTTTCTCTAGGCAGAGGACTCCCCCTTAGAGGTCTCTTACATGGGGGGGGACTCCAGAGGCCAGAAAAAGTGACAGAAACCCTGTCTTTTGTTTGATTTCACCCTAAACACCGAGAGCTCTGAAGAATAAAAGATGGGACTCCTGGGTTCAAGATACCAGACCCCTGGAGACCTATTTCGCCATCTAGATCATAGGGCGCTGGTAGGGTAAGAAAAGTCCTGGATGCCATGTAACCAGAAGGGAAGGAGGCCTCTTTGAATAAGAATCCCCTAGTCTTTACCCTAGAGTCTACATTCTTTGCTTAAGCAATCTAGGGCTGGGCTCAAAACAGGATGTGCTTAACTAGTGCTGACCTATCCAGAGATGGGAGAATGGATTAGATGACCTCTCAAGGCCCCATTCAGCCTCAAGAGCTGGGTACCATTGTTCTTCTAACCAACGGGTCCTCAGGATATGGAGTTGGAGTTAGGGAAGAAAAACCTGCCTCATATATTTTCCTCAGTGGCTGCTGTGCCTGGGCTTGTTTGTGTTCAGCTATGATTCTCTAAAGATAGAGGAAAAGATCTAGGCCCTGTTTTCAGGGAGGTTGGAGAGAAGTCCTGGAGCAGAGGAATGGGGAGAGATCAATGGAAGGCTTCCTGTAGAGAGGAATGCTGGAGAGCACAGGATTGAGAGTCAAGAGACCTAGGTGTGAATCCTGGCTCTGCTGCTTACAATACAACAAACATTTATTACATGCTTGTGGCATTCAGCAATTCATAGGCAATAGGGAAAAATACTCTGCTAACCCTCACCCTCAAGAAGTTTATAGTTATCCAAGCCCCTCCTCCCACCCTCCACCAAACTGTAATGTAACTCAAATGCATTATCTTACTTGGAAGTGCATTAGAGTTACAAAACCCCAGAGTGCTAAGATTGGAGGAGAATATTATTGGAGAGGAGGGCAATCAGGGAAAGCTTCCTAAAGGTAGCACTTGTGTGAAGCTTTCAATGGCAAAGAGGAGGAGGAAGGTCATTCTACAGGTAGGGAAGGAGCAAAGGAAAGAAACATCAGAGTTCAGTGGGTGTTTGGGAGGCAGTTGGACTAAGAAATTCGTAAAAGGGAATAATATGAGTTTGGAAAGACAGGGTAGAGGGCCTTGAATGCTAGGCAAGAGGAGTGTGAACTTTTTTCTTTGGACAGTTAAGAAGCCATTGAAGATTTCTGAGCAGAGTAATGACATGACAAGATCAGTGAGTGGATTGCCATAGCCAAAGAACCCATGCACTACTGTTACAATGCTCTGAGTGATATGAAATGAGTGCCAAATGAGTGATGTGAATCCTAAGCTCAAAACCCTTCAGTAGCTCCCTATTACCTACCCAGCATGTTCAAACTCCTTTTCCTGGCTCTCAGCTCTGCACATAAAACTTACTCTGGCAGAAGTCTGAAAAGGATTGAAGGGAAGGGGGGCAAACCAGTGTGGTCAGGAAACCCTGTACAAGCAGTGGGAATCTTCACAAAGAGGGAACTTGAGAGAGAGATTGCAGAAATGGAATCAAGTCCTGGTTACAGATTGGAAGTAAAAAGATGAGAGAAGTGGGAGGAGTCAAAGATAAGCCCAAGGCTATAAACCAGGTGAATAGTGGTGCTACAAACAGAAAACAGTGAAATCAGAAGTGGTTTCAAGGTGGGGAGTTGGGAGTAGGAGTAGGAAGATCAGCTTAGTTTTGGAGATTTGGAGTGAATTTGAACACTGAGACTAAGATGATGTCCTATAGGCAATTGGAAATGTAGGTCTGGAGCTCAAGACAAGGCAAATCACTTCACTTCCTTGGGCCTCGGTTTCCTCATCTGTAAAATGTACTACATGATCTCAGGCCTCTTCTAGCTACTATAAATCCTGTGATGTCCTCAAGGATTCAAGGCTGATAACTGTTACAAATTAACACTAAGGGCCAAATGAGCAGTACATACGTACTCAGTGCTGTATAATCCAGAGCAGGGAGAGATTAGGGAGGGAAGGGTTGCTACAGGTGATCTGAGTTGGACTTTGAAGGATGAGTATGATTTGGACTTTAAGAAAGAAGATGGAGGGCATTCTAAACCAGTTGCCATGGGAAATATCTAAATGAATCTCTCAACCACCAGATCTGGGAGACCAGGTGAGGAGGTCTGTTTAGGATAGAGCAGCAGTGTCAAGAACTGGCTGGCTTCTCTAAGCATGAGACTCCACCCCTAATTTCAATAAACTAAACCCAGGGATTATGGGAACTAACTCCCCAGTAGAATAGCTTCAGCAGCTTCTCCAGAGAATCGGTCTGCCTCTGGAGTTCATGGATACAAGGAAAAAAAGTTCATTAGTACCCCTTTCTCTCCATTTCAGGATCCTCAGTAAGTCACAACTCCTAACTGTAGGTGTAATACAGGCTTCAGTCCTAGGCCCTCTTCTCCCAATACCCAACTTTACTTAGTGATCTCATCAGCTCCCATGAATTACCATCTCTATGAGAATGATTCTCAAATCTACCTATCCTCCCCCAGCCTCTCCAGATTGACTTCCAATCTCATATCTCCAACTTTCACACATTTCAAAATAGTTGTCCAGAGATAATTGTACACTCCCCAAGTCCAAAACGAATTATTATTTTTCCCCCTAAACTCTTCCTTTCCCTTACCTTTCCTATTATAGTTGAGAGCAACACCACCCTCCAAGTCTCTGGCTCCAAATCTCGGTGTCATCCTGGTTCCTCACTATCCTTCACCCTCCATATCCCATCTGTTGTCAAGGCCTGTCTGGTTTCACCTTTGGAATATCTCTGGAATCACCTCCCCCTTTTCTCTCCTCTGACACTGCCACCATTCTTAAGTGCAGACCCTCATCACCTCACACCTCGACTCCGTAATAGCCTGTTGGTGGGTCTTCTTGCCTCATCTCTCCCCACTCTAATCTATCCTTCATTCAGCCACCTAAGTAATTTTCCTGAAGTGCAGGTTCAGTCACATCACCCCCTTACTCAATAAACTCCAGTGTCTCCCTATCACCTCTATGATTAAATACAAAATCATCTGCTTGGCCTTCGAAGCCCTTCCTAGCCCCCTCCTACTTATGCTTTACTGCCCACTTGTCCTATGACCAAGACACTCGGGGAATTTTCTCTAGCTGTCTCCTATGGCTGGAATGCTCTCCCTCCTCATCTCTGCCTGCTGGCTTCCTTTAAGTCCTCGTCTACAGGAAGCCTTCCCTCTTAATTCTAGTGCTTCTCCTCTCATTAATTTCCTATTTATCCTCGGTATAATTTGTTTGTACGAACTTGTCTCCCCCCTCCTCTACGTTAGATTGTAAACTTTTTTGGGGCAGGAACTGCCTTTTTCTTTCTTTGTACCCCCAGTACTTTGCACAGCCCCAGGCACATAGTAGGCACTTAATGTTTACTGACTTATTGACTTATTTCCCCCATCAACCTAACACACCAGAGGCTTCTGGTCCATCCTAGACTCTAGTCCACCGACCCCATACAGACTGGATCTCAGAGAAACAGGAGTGTGTGAGACACTCCCCACACACATAGGGAGGAGATGGGAAAAGATCTCCCACGAGGGGTGAGAGGGTTGGTGGGGAAAGGTAAAAAAGACGTCATCCTGCTTTTCCGTAGAGGAGAGAATTGGGAAAGGGAGGGGCACAGAAAAGAGACCAAGAGGCCAGAGATTTCCCCTCGGGGGGAGGAGGGGAGGGGAAGCAGCGGCAAAGGAGAAACTTCCCTCTGGGTAGGGGAAAGCGGGTACGGAGGGAGGGGAGACCCGCTCCCCCGACTTGGGTAGAAGAGGGAAGGAGGAGAGGAGGCGAGCGACCGCCCACAGAGGGAGGGACGAGGCGACGGACGTCCCACAGGGGAGGTCTCTGCCGGGGCATCCTGGACCAGGCTCAGGGCCCCCACCGGCCACTGGGGGAAGGGTCAGGGGGTGGGGGGCAACCTGCCCCTTGGGTGTTGAGAGGGGACACAAGGGAGAGACCAAGTGGGCGGAGACCTCAGACTCCCCTATCAGCCGCGTTCTGGTAGAAGGGTTCATTCAGTGACCCTCCCCTATTGGAGAGCGGAGGTGCCGGGCCCCACCGCCTGGGAGGAGCAGACCAAGCGAGAGGCCGAGACCTAGAAGCCGCAGGGACCGTGGCACTTTAAGATCCTCTGAACGCGGAATGTTTAATGTAGCTAACTAACTGAAAGCGGGTCACGTGACAAGGGCGGCTCGCTCGCTTTCCCTGAGGGGAGGGGGAGCGGGCGCGAGGCCAATAGCAGCTTCAAGCTCAGGGACAGAGGCGGGGAGGAGGCGGGGCCGGAGCGCCCCGGCGGCGACGGCGGTACTTCCGGACCAGGTCCTCGCCCCTACCCCCTCCCGGTTCGTTTATAGCGCGAGCGCCGGTGTAAAAGGGCGGCGATTTAAAGACGTCCCCCTCCTTTTCTCTACCCCGCAGTAATACTCCAGACCTGTCCCCAATTCTAGGCCCTGTGTTCTCTGCTTCCAGTTGGAGTCTCCGACTAGTCTAGGTGTCAGTTCGACATTATAATGCCCAGTGATTCCCCCCCCTCCGTGGCGGGAGGATTGGGGGGAGGGCTGAGGGATCCAGACTTGGTCTGCACACACGACCCTTCCTCACTACTCTAGAAACGCACGAACCCGCTAGAGTGTTATAGCAAGACTCGCGAGGCCCTGGATGCGAGGGGTGCCCCGCAGGAGGCTAGGCCTAGAATTGGGACCCAGGGTCCGAGGAGGAGCCGGGGGCCGTGGTCAGGCGGTCCCGCGGGCCCTGTCTCGGGATGTTGCAGGGAGCGCCAGGGAAGACCAGACAAGCACTTATTTTTATTAAACATTCATCCCTGAAATAACAATAACGCGTCAAGATGGCTGCGGGGGCTGCGAGCGGGCCTCTTTCTTCCTTTTTTTCCCCCGATCTGACGATAAGCGGAAAGACGGCGACGATTGCGGGGAGCTGGGCCGGAGCCCATTTCCCGGAGGCCGCATCGTTGGGCTGACAGGGGCTGACTGGACCAGCACCTGAGGGTCTGGCGTTTGTGCCTTCTTTTGAAAACCCATGCACATATTTTTGTTTGGTTTAAAAAAAAAAAGCTCCAAGGTGGGCGGTGCGGGGGCGGGGAACTCAGACCAAAGGGTCCCCATGTCCTCGCCAGCCCCCTCCCTCCCCCAGCATCCCTGTCTTCCCCGCCCCCACTGCGCTAAACAGAGCCGGGGACCGCCGAGCTCAGCCCCTACCGAACCCCCGAGGCTTGGAGGCCACAGAAGAGACTCGGGGTGGGGCGGGGAAAGAGAGAAGGAAGGACAGAGGGTGACGACGAGGAGGGCGGGCAGGGGCTGGGGATGAGAGGTGCGTAGCCTCCCATTCCCGAGCAGTGGAGAAAAATTCCTTTCTAGTTGGATCAATCCTTGTTTTTCTCCCCCGCTGTCCAGCGTCTGAGACGCGTGGGGTGGGATTGGATTTTGTTTTGTTTTGTTTTTTGCCCTTGTCCGGAGGTTGGGTGGCCGCGGAGAGGTGAGCGGGGCTCGGGCCAAAGCGCTGGGCTCGGGTTTTCCTCTACCTTCCCCCTCCTTCCTCTCTCCAGTACCCCCAACCCACGAGGAGACGCGGTTTGGGGGACTCGGGGAGGAGGGGGGGGGTCGTCCCTTCATGTCCCTCCCGCGAGCGCTCCCTCCCTTCTCCAGTCCCCTCCTCCCTACCCCGGTGCGCCCTCCCCCCTCCTCCGTCCCCTCCTCCTTCCCTCCCTCAGCCCTCCCTTCCCCTGTCCGTCCCTCCTCCCTCCCACCCTCCCCCTTCCGTTTCTGTTGGTGGAGGGAGGCGGAAGGAGGAGGGCTGGGATCTCGGGCCGGGGACGGGAATTTCATCTGAATGACTGTCCCCCGCGCGCCCGGCGCCCCCGACTCGGCCCCGGCGCCCTGCAGCCGTCGCCGGGAAGACAGCGAGCGGGGGACCGCCCCAGCCGGGACGCCGGGCGCTTGGCTGGGCCTCGCCCGCCCGGTTCCGACCTAGCCGAGCCCTCGGGCGCGGCGGGTCTTTTTCCGGCTCCTCTTTGAAGGGACGCGAATCTCGGACTCGGCGGCGGCGGCGCGGAGGAGGAGGAGGAAGAGGAGGAGGAGGAAGAGGAGGAGGAGCCGGGAGCGCGGGGTGGCGGCCGGCGAGAAGCCCCGAGTCCCGGCAGCCAGAGAGAGGAAGGGAAGTGTGCGGCTCGCGGGGAGGCAGCTGCGGGGCGCGCCCCAATGTCAGCGGACGAGCGGAGCGGGGGAGGCGCAGGCGGCGGCCGCGGCTTCGTGGATGGAATTTGGACTTGGGCAGGCCCATCCCTGGCTCGTGCCCCGGCTCCGGCCAGCGCCGCCCGCTAACACTCCCTACACTCAGCAAGGAGGAGGAAGAAGAGGCGGCGGCGGCGGCGTCGCGAGCACCCCCTGCCTTGAGAAGCCGGGCGCTGTCCGCCAGTGCGGAACCCCAGAGAGGCTGTGCTGCTGAGCTCGCCCAGGGCGCATCGCGGCGCGGCTCGCTCTAGCGACCGTCTTGGTTTTAAACGGGACTGGTCCCCGGCTGCGGGTAGGAAGCTCAGGCCGGGGCCCGGCTGGCGGTCAAGGCCCGGCCCGGGGCGCTACAGCTGCCTTCTTCGCCATGGCGGAGAATTGGAAGAACTGCTTCGAGGAGGAGCTCATCTGCCCCATCTGCCTGCATGTCTTCGTGGAACCCGTGCAGCTGCCCTGCAAACACAACTTCTGCCGCGGCTGCATCGGCGAAGCCTGGGCCAAGGACAGCGGCCTGGTTCGATGCCCCGAGTGCAACCAGGCCTACAACCAGCGACCAGGCTTGGAGAAGAACCTCAAACTCACCAACATCGTGGAGAAGTTCAACGCGCTGCACGTGGACAAGCCGCCGGCCGCGCTGCACTGCGTGTTCTGCCGCCGCGGCCCCCCGCTGCCCGCCCAGAAGGTCTGCCTGCGCTGCGAGGCTCCCTGCTGCCAGTCCCACGTGCAGACGCACCTGCAGCAGCCCTCCACCGCCCGCGGGCACCTCCTGGTGGAGGCCGACGACGTGCGGGCCTGGAGCTGCCCGCAGCACAACGCCTACCGCCTGTACCACTGCGAGGCCGAGCAGGTGGCCGTGTGCCAGTACTGCTGCTACTACAGCGGTGCCCACCAGGGACACTCTGTCTGCGACGTGGAGATCCGGAGGAATGAGATTCGGGCAAGTAACTCTTACCCGCGACCCTAGAAGACGGGTGGGAGAAGTGGGGGACAGGATTCTCAACTGGGGTGGGGAAGGTCAGGAACCGGGCAGGAGTCCGTGGGTGTGGGAAGAACTAGGAACCAGGTCTGCATCCTCCCCCCACCGGCGAAGAGGCCTGGTTGACCCCAGCCTGTCTGGTTCCCCTAGGCAGTAGACAAAATGGGACCTCGCTGTTAGGGTTGTCTACTGTGGTTCCTTCTTTAGGACAGGAGTTTTTTTTTGGGGGGGGGGGCGGTGCGTACTTGTCTAAGGATAAGAGAAATCCTTTCCCTAAATGATTATGTAGGAAAGCCGCATTGTTGATGCCCCCGCCTGCTTTCATTTGGGCTACAGTTTGTGTGACCAGTGCCCCGGAGCCATTGCTGCCCCAGCTGGGGACAAGCTGCTGCCCGGGCAGCGAGGAAGTAAACAAAGGCAGCCATGTTCGAAGGCTGGGAGCCCCTTAAGAAACACCGGGTTGTTTGGGTTTCTTTCCGGGAGGTGAAGAGGAATAGAACCGAGTTATGTGTCTGAAGAAAGACCGAGAATCCAGAGACCAGGGTACAGAGTGAGGTTCTATGTGGGTGGCAGTGTCTGCGCAGACCCGTGTGCATGAACAAACCTTTAAAGTCTGTGTCACCCTGAGCTCTGATTGCCTTTTCTCCAAGCCCAGCCCTCTCCGCTCCCAGTTGTCTGGAGGAAAAGCTAAGCACAGAAGGGTGGGGAAAAAAATCTGATAGGTTTAAGGTTGAGCTGCCTTGAAATCTGGTTTCAGGCAGCTCACTCCCCTGGGCTGCCCTGCTCCTTGATTGCAGCCGCATCCCCTCCCATTGTATATGGCCTGTCAATGTCACCCCCACACATGCCTCCCTTCTCAGGCTGTGGCCCAGGGCTGGGAGGCCAGCCTAATGCAAGGTGGGGGGATGCCCCCCCTCCCTTCCCGGATGGACAGCTTCCCATGGGGTAAGGGGAGTCCCAGCCTGGGGAGTCTGGGTGAGTCGTGGCAGAGGGAGGGAACTGGGAAGATTCCATCTCTGTGGGAAGGCCCAGCCCCCAATCCCAGGCCCAGGGTGTGCCTGAGCTGTGGGGGAAGGGGATTGATTCTTCTGACCCCTACTCCTACCAACCCTGTTGGGTAGGGGCACCTAGGGTCAAAGAGGGCAGCTGAGGCCCTGAGTATGAAAAAGCCCTACAGATCACTGCAAAATGGGGGTGGTTTCCTGTGTGTGAACCCAATTCGAATGACTCACTCTGTAGCAATAAAGAACCCAATAGGATGGGGGGGGAGCCAGTGATCAGTAAAAATTAATGTAAGACTAGTTTCCAATTTGTAGATCCCGCTCCAGGTTTCTTTTCATAGAACAGACCGATAGTTTCTTTAAAAAAAAGTGGTGGGAGAAAAAAAAAATGGTGGAGAGGAGAGGGCTCCCAGCTGCTCCCCAATCTCCCTCCCCTTTTTTGACTACCCCAGCTTGGCCCTGGGCAGAGAGGCTTCTGCAGTTGCTATTAATAAAGATTGGAAGGGGTTAGGAGGGAGAGAGAGTGAGCTAGTGATGAAAAGTATAGAGCCTGTAGGAAAGCCAAGATGTCTAGCTCCTGTCTTGAGGAATGTGGGTTGGAGGGGTGGAAAGGTGGAGATGCCTTAGGATAAGACTGAAAGAAAGAGGAGGAGGCAAAGACCCTTACAAGATAACTTGGCCAAGACTTAATGGAGAGGTGGTGGGGGTGAGTGGTCACTGGCCCCAGAAGAAGGGAACATAGGCTTGTTTGCTTTGGAGTCTGTAGGTGTATATGTATCTTGGGGGGGGGGGGGTCCCTCTGCATGTGATTCCTAACTACTCTTGGAGTAGTGTGTTAGTAGTGTGCACACAGACTCGCCTCTTCTGATGCCCCAGGTGGCCTAGCTATCTGTTATCCTAAAACACCCTCCTGCATCTTCTCACCAGCACTTGGAAAAAAAGAAGTGGGGCTGGAGGGAGAGTCAGGAGATACCAAACTTTATTGGCAGTGTGTGCCATACCCCAGAGGTAAGACATAGGGCGTAGATACTGGAATTTTGTGAGCACCTGCATCAGTGATAACTTAGACCCTTAGCTGGACTCTTGTTCACCCCCACACTCACTCCTACCTCTAGCTAGACCTGCTGTCTCCTGTTTCTCTGGCCCTCACATTCCTAGCATTAGAAAAGCATACCAACAACATTCCTGGTCAGGTTGGCTTATTAAATTGGTGGTAGTCTATCCTAACCCCTAACTACACACACACTGGAAAGATGGAGACTCAGAATGGGCTGCCTACTGGAAACATTGGCTCTAGATCTGCCGTTGACCCAGGGGCCCCAGGAAGCTGGCCTGAATCTGGTTGGGCTAGGAAGCCCCCCCCTTTGGTTCCATTCACCATCGGGAGTCCAGTTTGCTAAATAGATCCTTCCTTAAAAGAATCTAACCCCTGGTGCTTTGGGCTTAGCAGTGAAGTAGGGGGTGGGTGGGTAGGGAAATAGCAACAAATCCTAAGGTTGGGGGGGGCACTGAAGGTGCAGGCTTAGACTCTTTCTCTTGAGCTGTGCTAGCTTCCCAGAGTACTATTGGGGGGGAGGGAAGAGAAGAGAAGAGAGATTGATTGATTGATTGATTGATTGAGGGTACAACTGCATTTACTAGACCTCCCTCCTTCTCCCATAAGCATGAGCTAGTCCTCTCTTCCTTCCTCTTGTCCCACCTAGTCCAGGCCTGGGGTGGGAGGGGGTTGGGAATAGGGCCAATTTCAGTTTTTGGGGTAAGGTGTGAGGGGACCACAGGAAATTGGTATTTGCCGGAATGTGTGAGCTGGGGGTGGGTAGAAAGGGAGGAAGATGTTGCTCCAAGCCTCCTCAGATGCCAGATCTGTGCTGTATCCTTTGAAAGCTGACCTGGGGCCACAGAGTCCCAAGAGGCCAGAAAGAGGCCAAAATCTGGGCTTTGAGTTTGGGGCTGGGCTAGGAGGGGACCCTGGGAATAAACTATCTACAGCTCTTTCTAGGCTCCAAAGCCAGATGTTTCTAGGGGTGTGGGGGAATAGATGGCCTGTAGGGCATCCGGTGTGGTCTCAGCCCCAGGCCAGTTGATTGCATCTCCCCCTCCCCCCACCGGATTTTGGGTTGGGGGGGTGGTTTCCATCAGGATCCAGGAATGTTGCTGCTTTCCCTGAGGCCAGATTTAAAGCATGGGGGTCACATTTATAGATGAACCAGAGGAAAGGATGGGGAGGGGGAAGGGTCTGGGTATTGGTTAAAGGCATCTGTGGAAGGTTCTAGTCTATGCTCAGTCCTTTACTGAGAAGGAGGAATCTGGGGGGAGGGAAGAGCTAGAGAGAATGGTCTACTCCCATTTCTGTGTGTCTGGGTGTCCTTGTAATTTTTCATATTGCACTATTGCTATGTAATTCTGGAGTGCCTCCAGGACTAAGTGAAAAATCCCAGTAAATGTTTAAAGAGTCTCTAGAACGGAGGGGACGGGCTCACCTGCTTTGGAGTGTCTAATCCATGCCCTAGTTCCTACCCCTCTTCTTTCCCATTCTTGACCTTCTCGTGGGGGAGGAGGGTGGCTTGGCTAGGTGTGTAATAAAAGACTCTTCTGGGCTTGGGCAGGTAGACTGTTCTCCTCGACCTCCTCTTTGGTAAGGAGTTTGTGGCTAGCTTCAGGGAAAGAACACCCACCCCTCACTCATTGCCCTGGGGACTTGGGAGAAAGCCCTGGGTTTCCCTTCCTGCTTCTGTCTCCCTGGGTGGTCACGGGCACTAAGCCTTCTGCTAGCTGGGCGGAGTCTGGACCTAGGGGGCTGGGGGAGGTTTTTTCAGCCTGAATTGCTTTCCTCAGCACTTGGGAGTGAGGAGGATTCAGGTGGGAAAGTGGAGGGGGTGCTGTGCCCAGCTCCTGGTGAAGCTGGGGGGAGGAAAGGTTCTTGCACAGCCTGCTTTAATGGAGGGAGTAGGAGGGAAAGAGGACACCTACCCCCCATCTGAGCTTAGTCTTTCCCTCTTTTTAAGGGAGGAAGGTAGTAACCCTGGGTGGGGAAGCAAAAGTGGTTAGCCTCCACCCCATCCTGGGACCCATAGTTACCCCAGACAATGTGACAGGAGGGTGGTTGAAGACGCTTGGTTATCCCAGGCTCCTTCACCCAAGGGCTCCCTCCCATGCCCTACCTAAAACTGGAGGCCTGAGAGTCCTTGGCTTGGTGAGGTGTGGGTACCTCCTTCCCCTAGGCAGTCCTTTTCAGGGCAAGGGAGAAGCTAGTAGCCAAGTCCTAGGTCCCTACGACAAATACAAGCACATAACATGTAAGACACAATTATTCTTATTTCCCTCTATAGCGTCATGCTGATTCGGAGGCTGTCTCTGTGAGATTGTGTCTGATGTGTGTGCCTTTGATATTTTGTTATGTGTGAGGTTGTGTTGTCTGTGACTTTGTGGGCCTGGACCTTCTCCAGTGAAGGATAAAGGGAAGGGAAGAAGATTCCCTGAAGACTAAAATTGATGGAGGATGTTAAAGGAGAGATTAGATGTCACTAAAATTCGGAGAGGGGTGGAGATCGGGGAGCTGGGAAGGGGGGTAAGGCCAGCCCCAGAGGCCCTGCTGTGGGTCCAGCCCGGCCAGCTCGATGGCTGGCTCTTTGAAAGCCTTCCCGGCCGGGCTGGCATTCAGGCACAGACAAAGGGGGGCTTTCTCTCTGCCTCTTTGTTTGCCTGCCCCAGAGCCTGCACTCTGCATGGCAGAAGCTAATGCCGCTCTGCAGCTGGGAAACCAGCTCCTCATCTCTCAGGCAGGTCCAGGCTCTGGGTGTCTTTACCCCTTATTACCTGCCTCCTACTCTGGGGTTTGTCTGTGGGAGGGGATGGGGAAGTGGGGGGGGGGTGGAGAGCTTTGCTAGAGTTTGTGAAACCTAAGGCTGCTGAGAGCTCCCTTCCCCAAAGGGGGAGGGGTTGTCCCAGGGGGAACTGGAA